AAGAGGAATCAGCTTAGCAAGAGATCCAGGTACCCTGGCTCTTGTCCCAGAGCCCTCCTCGGTGCAGAGCTGTGCTCCAGCCTGTGCTGGGTTGGGGAGATGAAAATGGTTCTTCAATCCCCGTCCTTAGCGACGTCGGAGTTTCTCAGAGTGGTACTTGGCCACTCCAGCAAAGCCTCCGCCGCTTCATCCCATAGCTTCCTGCACCATTCCCAGGGATGCCTGCCTGGCCGTATGGGCAATAGAAGGAAGGGTAACAGTTCCTGGAGCCCACAGTTGCCCCCCCAACACAGGGGGTGTTACCGCAGAATGGCCGGAGCTCCCCCACACCCAGCCTGACTCACACAGCGAGGAGTAAAATGAATAAACACTTCAGCCTCTTCTCTGCAGCGGCAGCCAGGGAACAGCTGAAAGAGCCCATCTCCTGCAAGGCACGTGCTCGCTGGGGGAGCAGCCGTCATGCGAGCCCCCCCCGAGACTCGTCTGCCAGCATCGGCATCCTGGGTCTCAGCAGGCCCTTGGGAAATGGGTCCCAGCGGAAAGGAGAGGGCAGGATCTGCCATAAAACAGGGCTGCCGTCCTACCCAGCCAGCTGCTCCTGCCATTGGGAGGGCCGGTCAGTGACACTGCGGCACGAGAGCTGCCCTTTTTACCACGAGGACCTGGTGTGTAGGGGAGCAACGTCCATGAAAGCTTTCCTTCATCTAGGGAGCTTTGTCAGGGAGTCAGTTTGAAAGTGACCTTGTCCCAAAGATCTGGCAAAAGTTTATGGAGGGGAAAAAAACCCCTGAAACCTGCGTCCAAAGCTTCTGAGATCACACCTCCCAGGGGAGCCAGTTGGGCACGGTCTGCACACCACCTTCTGGGCTGGGGACCATAAGCGGAGGCATGTGTGCGGGGCTGCCCAGAGGAGACATCTGTGCCAGGGACATGTCCCTGAGACGCAGCACTTGTTTTCCAGCCTTCAGGGTGGTGACGACTTTGAGCTGCGGCCAGGTTAGGATTTCAGTCCGTGACCCGAAGGGGAAAGGCTTGGTGTGCCATTCCTGGGCTCCAGCTTCTGCCCCAGCTCTTACAAGCAACTTGGTTTCTATTTTCTGTATTTCCTCGGATCCCGTGAGCTTTGGATATTAAGGCTTTTAAATCTCCAGAAGCACATTTTGCTCATCTTGGCTGCTTCCTAAAGGACCGGAGAGCAGGCACAGCCAGCCCTGCCACCTCCTCGCCTCCTGCATGCTGCACCAGCGGCAGCATCCTATTTTATTCCACCTTCCCACCCCTGGGCCCGTGCCCAGGACTAGTCTAAATTTTCTTGCCAAGACATTTTTCCTCCAAGATGTTCTGCCAGTCAGTAATGCCCTAACGCGCTGTCTAAAGGTTCTTCCCAAATCTGTTTTGGACAATTTCCAATTTGTAACCCAAGATTACTGCCTGAGCAAAGAAAAAAACATTGCCGGAGGACTGCGGGACAAGGGACACCCCAGTCCCTGGGGCAGCCCCTCATCTCGGGGCTTTATCTCCCCCTTGACACCTCTTTCACGAGCAAAGGCAGGGCTGGAGAGGCCCAGAGGATCCGTTCCAGGTCCCCCCAGCAGTTACAAACCCCTTCACCACCTCCTTCCAGCCTAAACTTGGCCTCGGCCACTTTGTTTCCAGAGACATCCTTCCATGTAAATCCTCCCCTTCCTCTTCTGATCCCCGGGGAATTCACACGTATACGTGCTTCCGCCTGGGGATCGCAACCCTCGCAACGTGTAAGGCGTTTCACAGCAGCAGGCAGGCGGAGGAGGAGATGCGGAGCGGGGACACCAGTGTCACTCAGCTGCCTCCCCGCTGCCCCGTGCAGCGCTCAGCCGGGGCTCCAGGGAGCCCCCGCAGAAGCCAACGCTTTTGGAGGCCCAGCGCCCCTCAGCCTGCCTCCTCGCACGCCCCAAAAGCGAAACCCTCCCCGTGGGCTCTGCGGCGGGGCAGGG